ACTCTGCAGGAGAAAGATGTGGCAGTCTGCTTCCAAAAAGATTTACAGCCTTGGAAACTCTACGTGGTAGTTCTATTCTGTCCTATCGGGTCGCTATGAGTCGAAATCAACTCAACAGTAATAGCTTTGGTGTTTTGGGTTTTTTGTCTCATAGAGTTATTGTGAAAATTATTAAATCAGTTAATACAAGTGCTCCATAAGTGTTAGCTACTATCATTATTTATTCAACTTTATTTCTGACTACTTTCCAAAGCCAACTCTCTCAAGGTATTCTCCTCAAATTATACGCTAATTCTCACTCTGTGCTTTTGCATATACTGTTTTTTGCAGGCTGGAATACCTTCCTACCAGGCATTCATTCATTCCAAGCCAAGTACAAGGTACCTCTCCCCTTACTCCTACATCCAGTTTAGTCTCTCCCTACCTCCATGACCATCAACTGCTCGTATGCAAGTTCAAGTTGAAGCTGAAGAAAACTAAAATAAGTTCACGAGAGCCAAAGAACGACTTGTGAGTATATCACACCTGAATTTAGAGACCATCTCAAGAATAGATTTGACTCATCAAACACTAATGACCAAAGACCAGACAAGTTGTAGAATGACATCAAGGACATCATACAAGAAGAAAGCAAGAGGTTATTAAAAAGACAGGAAAGAAAGAAAAGACCAAAACAGATATCAGGAGAGACTCTGAAACTTGCTCTTGAACGTCGAGTAGCTAAAGCAAACAGAGAAATGATGAAGTAAAAGAGCTGAACGGAAGATTTCAAAGGGTGGCTCAAGAAGACAAAGTAAAATATTACAATGACATGTACAAAGACCTGGAGTTAGAAAACCAAAAGGGAAGAACACGCTCAGCATTTCTCAAGCTAAAAGAACTGAAGAAAAACTTCAAGACTCCAGTTACAATGGTGAAGAATTCTATGGACAAAATACTGAATGACATAGGAAGCAACAAAAAAAAAGGATAGGAGGAAACACGCCAGAGTCACTGTACCAAAAAGAATTGGTCAACGTTTGAACATTTCGGGGTAGCATATGATATGATGGTATTAAAGGAACAAATCCAAGCTGCACTGAAGACACTGGAGAAAAGAAAGGCTCCAGGAATTGATGGAATACCAACTGAGATGTTTCAACAAACAGATGCAGCACTGAAGTGCTCACATGTCTGTGACAAGAAATTTGGAAGACAGCTACCTGGCCAACAGACTGGAAGAGAAACATATTTATGTCTATTCCAAAGAAAGGTGGTCCAACTGAATGCAGAAATTATCGAACAATATCATTAATACCACACACAACTAAATTTTGCTGAAGAACATTCAAAAGCAGTTGCAGCAGTACTTC